TGAAACTGGCTCACCAAAATTCTGCGCCCATCTAATCATACAATCTTTAATTAGTTCCGTTTCTGAGTCCAATTCAACTAAAACCCCATAAATTCTCTTAATGTGGGTTTGTCTTTGATCCTTCAGTTGCTTAATAAGGTTTTCATCTTCTCTAAGAAAACCCACCTTACAATCCATCTTCCATCTATCTAATAGTTGCCTATATTGGAACCAAGAATAAGTAAAATTTTCTTGTGCTAACTCTTCCCGTGATTTTAATTGCCAGTTTTGTCCATCCCATTTAAGTAACTGTCTATAAGACACCATATCCATTTTAACCCCTCTTTTTATTCCTTCTATCGCATGCCAAGGTATAGCCCATAATGGTACTTTAAAATCACTTTTATAATATTTTCTCCAAATCCTAAGTAAAGAAATTCTTAAAATATGAGATTTAAAAGCCCAATCTATTTTTTTATTAAATATTAAATAGGCATGCCACCCATAAAGTAAATCCCATCCCTCTAAGTAAAGTATCTCAGAATTTGTCAAATTTACCCAATCACTAATTAATGTTAAAACCACCGCATCATAATATAATTTCAAATTTGGTACCTTAAGTCCACCCCTCTCACGGAAGTCTTGCATAATTTTAAACTTAACCCTTGGTTTTTCCCTGCCCAAATAAATTTGTTGAGACCCTTCTGCCACTCATTTAAATTAATCTCATTTTTCAAAATTGGTAACATTTGAAACAAAAAAAGAAACTTGGGTAGAATATTCATTTTTATCACTGCAATTCTTCCCATGAGGGATAATTGCAACTTTTCCCAATTCTTCAAGTCCTTCTGTACCCTGACCCACAACCTTTCATAATTATTTTTAAATAATTTTGCATTAGAAACAGACAGCATCACCCCCAAATATTTTACCTTATTAACAATCTCAAAACCCGTCAAGTTGACCAAAATCTGCTTCTCTCCACCAAATCTTGATTGATATCTTCCTTGAGGCCTCTAATCCTCAGGGCATACTCCATCTGTCTATACTGAAACATCAAAATATCTTCTTGTGAGGAGTCCACCTTCCTTTCCACGTCTTGAATTTTGTCATCCAAAGAGTCAACTTTGTCTTCCACTTCCTCAAGCCTTGCGTCGAGCTTAACCACCACAGTAGCCAAACCTGAAACAGCTGCCAATATGTCTTGTCGTAGTTCATTATTATTTTCTTGCAATTTAGACTTTATCCCCGTTATCTCTTCTTTGAGATCAGATTTAATTTCTGATTTAATCTGTAAAACAAATTGATTCATTTCCTCTCTCATTTGAACTACAATCTCTCCCATTATGCCTCTAACCTCTTGTACTGAAAGTCCAGGTAGAGGAGGGGAGGGTGGTGGCTGAGCCGGTGGTACATGTTTAGATTGTTGTTGTAGCTGTGCAGTGGAAGTTATAGGAGAAGAAATAACCTTAGGTGCTGAGGAAGGCTGCTGCCTCTTTGAAGCCATTTTAAAAAGCACAATTGTCACTTCCCTTTCCCCTCCAGCCAAAAAGGGAGGAGGAAAGAAAAAAAAAATTTTTTAAAAAGAGACAAACTATAGTCATTAAAAGTCCAGAGTAAATCCAAAGAATAAGTAGTAAAAGAGCAAACAGTTCAAAAGAAAAAATTCTAAACCAAAAGCAAAAACAGAAGCAAAAAACAATCCTTAAAAAGGGAAAGTAAAACAAAAGAGAAAGGAAAAAAAACTCCGACAGTTTCAAAACGTATGTTCTCTCGTATGTCTTGTAAAATTTTAAGTTTTACTCTTGGTTTTTTCCCTGCCCAGATAAATTTATTGATACCTTTCTGCCACTCATCTAAATTTGCTTCTTTCTTTAAATTGGGATCATTTGAAATAAAAAAAGAAATTTTGGCAGAACATTCATTTTGATCGCTGCTATTCTCCCCAAAAGGCACAATTGCAGCTTTTTCCAATTGTCCAAATCCTTTTGTATTCTAACCCACAGCGTTTCATAATTATTTTTATACAATTTTGCATTGGAAGCAGGTAAAATAAAACTCAAATATTTTACCTTATTAACGACCTCAAAACCTGTCAATCTAACCAAGGTCTCCTTATCCAAGTTGGTCATGTTCTTAGGCAATATTTTAGTCTTATTATTATTAATTTTAAAACCTGAAACTTGTCCATACTGATTTATCAATGGTAACAACTCAGTTACGGAATGAATTGGTTGAGATAAAGTAACAACCAGATCATCTGTGAGGGCCCTTAGTTTATATTCTTTTTTATTAATTTCTATTCCTTTTATTTTTGATGATTCCCGAATTTTGATCAATAAAATTTCCAAAGTTAAAACAAACAGCAATGGGGACAATGGACAACCCTGTCTGGTCCCCTTTTCAATTGAGAATACCTCTGATAAACCTCCATTAACTATAAGTTGTGCTGTTTGTTTTTGATAAATGGCTCGAAGAGCCTGTAAAATTTTATCTCCAAAGTGCATTTCCTCAACCAATCTTAACATAAATTGCCAATTTAATTGATCAAAGGCTTTTTCAGCATCTAAAAATATCAAACCTGCAGAAATTTGGTTATTCTTATCCAGATATTCTATTAAGTTAATAATTTGTCTACCATTATTTTTCATATACCTTCCAGTTATAAAGCCAGTTTGATCCATATGTACTAGTTGATTCAACACAATCATAAATCTATTAGCTAAAATTTTCGAAAAAATCTTATAATCTACATTCAAAAGAGATATAGGTCTATAATTCTTTGGTAGAGTAAGATCTTGGTCTTCTTTTGGAATCAAAGATATAAAAGTTCTACCCCAAGACAAGGGGGTCTCTAAACCCTGTAATATATTATTAAAAAGTTCCCTTAAAGGTTCTATTAAAACTCCATTCCAATCTCCCATTAATATAACAGATCTATAATCCAGTAAAATCAGTTTTTGATGTAGCAACCTATAAAATTGTTCCTGTTGTTGATTTGGTGCGTACAAACCTACTATAAGTATTTTCTTACCATACAATCCCACTTCAATCATAACATATCTCCCTTGAGGATCAGAATCTACTAAACGAGCTGATAAATTTTGCTTAACATAGATAACTACACCCCCTTTTTCCCCCAAGAGTAGAAGATACAAAGTGAGATCCCAATCGAGCATTAACTAAATATTTTTGATCCTTAGAGATAATATGCATTTCCTGTAAACAAATAATGTCATTATTATATTGCTTCAAATAGTGAAATATTTTCTTTCTCTTCTGAGGGGAATTAAGGCCATTAGCATTCCATGTCAGGAGCTTTACCATCTCCCTCATCCAAAAGCCTGGAGAAGACTGCTTGAAGATCTGCCATTGAAGATTGTACCAAAGATCTCTTAGGTCTTGCTCCTCCCACAGGCTCAGAAACAAATTCTTGTGGAACTTCTTTAACATCTTTCTTCTGTTGTTCCTTTTCCTTACGTCTATGCACTGCCTGAGTCATTCTTTGCTCTTTCATCTCAGCTTGTTGAAACCACTCAGCCTGTGATTTTCCAGCTTTCATCAATACAGCTTCTTCAGACTACTGTTCAACTTCCTTCTCATCCAAGACTTTAGACATTATAGGTGGTGATGAGCGTGCTCCCAGGACCGAAATATAAAACTCCTTTGCTTTAGAAACAGTATTAAGTCTATAACGTGTCCCCGCATGGCTCACCACAATTCCAATCGGAATATCCCATCTGAATGGCATCAGCCTTTTTTTAAGTTCGTCTGCTAAAAAAGCAAACTCTTTTCTTCTTCTTAAAATTTTAGATGGGATCTCCTTTAAAATTATAACATCTTGTGCAGCAATCTGAAACCTCTTATTGTAAAAAGCTTGTATGATTTCATTGCGCAGAGATCTTTTCCCAAAGTAAATTACCACATCTCTTGGCAGATTTCTTTGCTTTGCAACCCAGGAGTTAACTCTAAATATTTTTTCAACTTCTCTAGATATTTCCTCTTTTTCTCTGGTAGTCATTTACTACCATCTCTCTCAGGTCCTGTTGCATGTCTTCTCTCAAGCCTCTGATTCTTAAAGCAAATTCCATCTCTCTATATTGAGACATAACAATTTCATCTTGAGAAATATCCACCTTTTTTTCCATTCCTTCAAATTTTTCCTCCAACACCTCCACTTTGTCTGCAACTTCTTCAACTCGAGAGTCCAATTTTTCAACCACAGAAGCAAGTCCTTTTAAAGCCAGAACTATATCTTGCCTCAAAATACTATTATTCTCTGCTAAAAGCTCTTTCACTTCCCCTCTAATTTGAGATATAGCATTTCTCATTATATCTTGCATATCTTTTACCGTTATTGGTTGCAGAGGAGGAGAAGATGGTGGTGTAGCTTTAGGTTGTTGTGCTAGTAATATCGCAGGAGAAGAGGCCACTTTGGGTACTGTAGAAGTCACTTGACGCTTTGAAGCCATCTTCAAAGATTTATTTCTTCTTTCCTCCTTCTTGAAAAAAATACAGAAAAATACAAAAAAAATCCCTTAAAAAAGTGACGAAAAAAAGTTAAACAGAGAGGGAAAATACTCCTCCTAAAACCCAGATCCACCTTCAAAAAATCATTATAAATAATCAAATCCGTTCCGTTCCGTTCCAATCACCTAAAAAGAAAAAAACCTGCCGATCGCCATTTTACTTTCCCTCTCAGCAAAAGAAAAAAAAAAGGGAATAAAAATAAATCTTTAAACTTAAAGTCCAAAAAAAAAAAAAAAAAGTAAAATCCTCTATTCAGCTCTGTCCGCTTTTAAGATAACTCACCAGATCACTTTAACAGCGGAGGTGGGAGCGGCGTCTCGCTTTGTCCCTAGAGACAAAGACAGCTGAGAAGCGGAGACAATCTGAACTCCATGGGAGCACTCTTCTCTCCGCCCCCCCAAAAATTCTTTGGGGGATTTCAGAGGCTCTACCACTATTCAGATGATACTCCCCTCCCTCCCTTTGCCCGGGAAGGAGGTTTTGAACCACAGAACAGCTGATGCCTCCTGTTCTCAGCGGTTCTAACACTTTCTCAGGAGGACGATACAAAGTATCCGCCAGCGCAAATGCACCGGAAGTCCAACTATAACAATTCTTAATATTTCGGAACTATACCAAAATTTAGGAGTGTAAGAGTGTTGGTAGACCACAGCATGGTAGACAAGCATGTAAATTTCAAAAACATACCGCAGTTTGCTGAGGGAGATTGCCAGGAACTGAGAGTGACATTACAGACAAAAATCCAGTTCACACATCATTCTAACCCAGTGTTTCTTAATCTTGCTAATTTAAGCTATGCAGACTTCAGTTCTGTGAGTTGAAGTCTCAAAGATTGATAAATACTGCTCTAATAATTTGGTTTCTTTCAACTTGGTATAATATGTTTAGTGATCCAAATTACTTCATTTGTAAACAATGGTGTATGGTATTTAACTAAATCTTTTCTCAAGCATTCTGATAAGTAGACCAGAGTTTTTCATTTTTGTTTATTTGTTTGTTTTGATGCCTTTGAGTTAGTGTTGACTTCTGGCAACTGCCAGCACTAGTCTCTGCAGTATTTTTGGCAAGGTTATCCCCCCCCCCCCCAGAAATGGTTTACCATTGCCTTCTTTCCAAGGCTGAGAGTGAATGACTGCCCCGAAGTCCACAACTTCCTTTGAGCCTAAGGCAGAACTAGAACTCAGTCTCCTGGTTTATAGCTTGGTGCTTTAATCACTACACCAGACGAGCTCTCACCAAAGACTCATACACCATCTTTAAGACTAACACACACTTTTCCCTAGAAAAGCAGGAAACTTAACTTACTCAATTATAATGGAGTCCACTTAATCAATTCAATGTGCATGAGTCAACCAATTACAAATTGGCAGATAACTATGGTTAATAAATCAAGGGTAATATATAGTCTATCATTCTGACACAATTTTCTAAACCAAATTGAAAGGAGTAGAAGGAACACATATGTGAGACATATCAATTCCAGGAGTAAAGTAACTATTTTTTCTGAAATATTATTGAAGATATTTGTCTCAGGTTTTTACAATCTAATATACAAATATACTGTAGAAGAATTGGAGAAATGAAGTAAAACAAGCAAAATAGTTTTGTTTCAAGATTATTCCAACAGAAAAATGGAAATTATATTACATAATTTTCTTTACTTTTTTCTTCTTTTAGTAGTTTGTATTAATTTTTATATGCATAAATATAATACTTGATAAAAGTTATTAAAAAATTAAATAAAGATTCCTTCCTTCCACCATCACAAATATACAGTAAATACAAAAATATACACACATGACTAGAAAGTCCATAGAGAATTAAATCTAATGGAAACATTTTGTATTCCTGTTTCAGCTGAAGACTTTTACAGATGAAATAGGTACTAATAAAATTATACCCATTTGAAGAATACATATGAATTGTTATATTTAAGTACTTTGACATTTTAGAAAAGTATATACACTTTCCTTGCATTTGCTTTAAAAATCAAATTCACTTTCTGTGATGGGATGGTAGTATATTTTTAATTTCAAAATAACATAATATTCTATAGTATGATGCAATTTCAAAGTACTCAACTCAGCAAGAAATGGCAAATGCCCCAGCAACAAGAAGATAAAAATGTAGTCTTAGCAGATAAACATAGTACTAGACTAGTCACAGAAGTTATTTATATGTCTGAATTAACAGATGCTTGATATACAATCTCATTCTAAAAAGGCAAAGCTAAGCAATACTTAAGGTAGCATACCTTAAATACAAGATCAGTACATTTGTTCTTCCTTTCATCTAATGATCTGTAATGTTTGTTTGGCAATGCTAATCCATTTTAAATAATGAAGTAAACATAATTGTGTGATATTAAATAGATAACTGAAAGCATGACTGCTCAGGGTACAGTATATTCCTCTTTATTCAAAGATCATGCCCAGCTGTTTGCTCTGTAATAGGAAAGATCTTCCAGTATGTAACAGGTCTCTCTTGCTTACCATAATAATAGAGAGATATGCTTAAGAAACCAATAACCAATGGAAAAGAATGCCTCTCTTATTTATAAATGTGCTTCAACCTTTCAAAATTTATAATTAAGAGCACATAGAGCATATAAAAGGTTGGGCAGAAGTTTCACTGAGATTAACAATGTGTTTCAGGTTGCTGTGAGAACATTTAATAGTATCTTTTGAAATAATTTCTTAAGAAATTGAGAGATGTAGATAACAGCCCTCTTTACTTTTTCAAAACTCAACAAACAAGAATACATAGTGTTATGTCCTGGGCCGGCAGGCACAGGCTGCAGCGACTGGCCCGGGCAGACCATGTGGATGCCCGGGGCAAGAAAGGCTGCTTCCAGCCTTTGCAATGATTGGCCAGCAAGGTATTGTGCTGCCTGGGACAAGAAAGGTCAATGCCTCTTTTCCTGAAACAGAACACATAGAAAGTTATGATGGGAAACAAATCCCACAACATTCCATACAGATTTCTAAACAGTCTGCTGATTCACAACAGGCATCCATAATGCCACAGTCCATGTCACATGGGCAGTTGCAGTCATCTTCCATTTCTTCCCCACAGCAGCAGGCCACCCCAGAGCAGATTCCGCATGAGGTTTGTTCCAAAATGAGGCCACAGAGGGTGATGAATTCACAGAACAAGCAGGCCAAAATGCAATGCACACAGCAATCTTGAGAAAGTAGACAGGGAGGGAAGGAATAAAGAAAAGAACAGAAATTTCATACTACATTCTGAATTACCATTCTGGAGAAAACAAAACACCTTAAAAATAAACAAAACCATCTTCATTTTTTCCTCATTACATCATTTGCATGCATAATATGAGAAGCACTTTTGCATGCCAGCTCACCTTCCTTTCAATAGTCTACTCATGAAGAAGAATGACCCCACTCTTAGTTAAAACCTTTTTTTGGATTGCTTTTGCTGATTAAGATATGCCTATATTGATTAATTTGGTTTCATTATATTATGTTTTATATTGGGTTAGATTTTGTATACCCCTAAAATGTCCAGAATGAAGTAATTTATGAAGCAAATAAATAAAAATGAATCAATAAATAAATGTTACAAAAAGATTTCAGAGGCTTAACAGTAAAGCTCAGAGGCACAGAAGACATAAAATTAAGTTCCTAAGGAACATGTTGTATCACCAAATTCATATCATTTTATCATTTTGGACATGCCAGGTATTCGTTCTCCGTAAGAGGAACAATGATAGTTGTTATTTCAAATAATCTTTCCCAATCAGTCCCCTTTTATTTTGGAATTTTTGGCTTTATCACTGCACTTATTCTTCTTGCTTCAAGACTACTCTATATGATGCATGGCCTTAATCCAGCTGCAACACCAAAATCAAAACAAAAAAAGTCAATTTTCTTTCATGCTAATAAAGAAATGCTAGTTATAAAATATAAAAATAAAATTGGGTTGAAAAAAATCTTCAGTCTGTCATTTATAAATGAACTGGGTACAGGTAGTCCTCACTTACAACATTTAATTTAGTGACCTTTCAAAGTTATAACAGCACTGAAAGAAGTGACATGACTGTTTTTCACACTTACGATAGCATTCCCACAGTCATGTGATCAAAATTCAGACACTTGGCAACTGACTCATTTTTATGATGGTTGCAGTGTCCTGGGGTCATGTGATTCCCTTCTGTGACCTTCGGACAAACAAAGTCAATGAGAAAGCCAGATTCACTTAACAATTGTGTTACTAACTTAACAACTGTAATGATTCATTTAACAACTGTGGCAAGAAAGTTTGTAAAATGGGCCAAAGTTTATTTAACAACTGTCTTGCTTAGCAACAGAAATGTTGCACTCAATTGTGGTCATAAGTCAAGGACTACTTGTAATGCAAAAAATGTTGGGAGAGATGCATATTTAATTCATCCACAATCAAAAGAAATTAGCCATTGGCGTTACATAAGCATTTTTGTTTAAATATTGTTATCTTATTTTTATAAATAATGGACAGTGATACATAAACACTTAAATATGACAAATAGAAAATGTTCACTGGTAACAAAACAGGAAAGAAAAACCAGCCAGTAAAAAGAATGCTTGCATATATTAAATAGTGTTTTTCATGAAGAATAAGCATATCTACAAGTGACCTTCATCCAGTGCTTAGCAGATACCACACATGAAATGAAGCAGGGGAGTACAAGTTCAGTGAAGAGGACCAAAGCCAGATTGATGGGGATTAATTAGACTGTTGTCATGGAGACCCTATTTGAATAAAACTAACAATTTCCTCTCTGTTTTTTAAAAAATAATGTAAATGAGGAAGTTAAGAAGCAATAGGTGTCTGAGTATTGATAATTCAAGATTAGCTTAACTTTTTTTCTCTACCTTGACAATGAACACCAAATAAAGAAGGAAAAGAAAGAAAAGTTTCCAAGTTACAACAAATTATAACTACCACTAAACAAAATGAAATGGCCATGCAATTAATGGCAATGACACTACATGCAGAGTAAAGATTGTGAAAATAAAACAAATAACCATAATTGTCATCATCTAGTATTTTAATTTGTTAGAGCCATTACATTCCAAAATTGTAGCATACAACATCCAGAATAAAATTTAAAACTATTAGTAACATAACAGAACACAACAATTCCAACAAAAACAGCCATTACAATAAAATACATGTACAGCACTAACACATTAGTTCAGGTGCGGGACAATTATTGTGGCACAAAAATAATTACAAAACCCAGGTAATCCTCGACTTACAACCATTTGTTTAATAATCATTCAAAGTTATAATGGCACTGAAAAAAGTGACTTATGTCTATTTTTCACACTTATGACCATTGCAGCATCCCCGCTGCAGTATCCCCATGGTAAAAATTTGATCATGATCAACATTTGGCTGTTTGGCAATTGGCATATATTACCGTATGTCCTGGGTCATGTGATCACCTTTTGTGATTTTTTAAAAAAAATCAATGGGGAAGCTAGATTCACTTAACAATCATGTTACTAACTTAACAACTTCAGTAATTCACTTAACAACTGTGGCAAGAAAGGTAATAAAATTATCTTGCTTAGCAATAAATTTTGGGCTCTGTTATGATCATAAGTTGAAGACCACCTGTAGCTTTTATTTTTCTAAAATGAAACCTATTTAGAAAAAAGGGAGAGGAATTCACCTAAATAACTAAGCAACAAAGTTGCTGATCCTGATTACCAACATTGAGAAAGAACTACCTGTACATTCTTCATTTATTTTTGCAAAGTTCCTTTGAAAATAATTTAAACAGATGGCAATGTATGCCACAACATTTTCATATCATTTTATTAATATAATCTTATTATCAATCAGAGTCACTTGAAAAATAATTCTAAACAGTTTATCTGTTTGACCATTTTTATTGCCCATGTCTATTTATAGATTATCCATGAATCCAAATCTTTTCTGAGTAAATAAGTGTCATGACAAAGCTCAAGAAGGTACAAGAATCCATTGGGTGACCTTAAAAGGTCAAAAACAGATATAAGCCTCTCTGAAACTGCTATTCAGAGTACAAATAGAAAAAAAAGCCCTGTCTGAAAGTCAAGGAAATTGAGTGACCTCTTGATCAATGCTGAGATGTTTGTAAAAAAGGGAAGAAGCATTATGTGTTGTCCTAAATGTAATGCAGAGATGAACTTTGAAGAGAGGAGGCACCTGGATGAAGGATTATTGTGTTTCTAAAGAGAAAAAGAAATATCCCAAAGTAATACCCATACTTTCCCCTCTGAGCATGCCAATTATTAAGAACATTCCAGATGGAATTTTAAGATGCTTATTTCACTACTAAAATCTTTCATATCATCTGGCCTGGTTATTTGAGAATCCACCTATGTTCCATAGTTATTGCCAACTGTACCTAATTGGTCAATAGGTCAGCATTAATTAAGCTTTAATTAATGACTATCACTTTGTTCATATCATAGATCTACATGATATATGATAATTATGCATCATATAGATCTATCATTATGACTTATCACTTTGTTGTATGTACAGAGAGCTTATGCACCCAAGACAAATTCCTTGGCCAATAAACTGTTCTGTTCTACCCTACCCTATCCTATTCTACTCTTCCCATTCCACCCCATTCCATTCTATGATAATTCCCACTCTGAGACTCTTATTTACCATGGAGATAAGCAGGGAATGACATCATGCAGGGACCAGTAGGGATGGTGGTGGGTAAGGTTAAAGATAAACACTTTAACTAAATGCTTTATGAGTGAATTAGAAAAAGGGATTCAGCATTCATTGGAAGGTAGAAAACAAAAGTTACAGTAGCTTCTGAATCAGCTATCTGATAAACTGTGTTTACCTCATGTCTATACTTGGAAAACATGGGAAAACCTTACATGCTCAATAAGGCAAGAACTGAGGTAACTTCTTTTATCCACCTAAGCAGTAGTATATTTTGACAGGAATTTCTGACAGCTAATAACATGAAGCCAAACTTCCTGTGAAAAATTAAGTATAATCCAGAGTCCAATTATAATCCAATAATATAGAATAACTTCCCACTATTATTGATGGATTTTTATTTTATTAATTAAATTTAGAATCTATCTCACAGAATGACTCTGGACGGTGTACAATTAAAAAAATAAACATTTACAGAATGCTTTGGAGAAAACAGCACGGCAGATCAAAAAAGAGACAGCAGAGCTTTTGAGGAGAAAAATAGGGAGATGAGAGAAGATATAGTGCTGGCTCTCCAAGGGCTAGCAGCTCATGTAGAACATCTGGATGAGCATGTGGATGATGTGGTGGGAAATGTTGAAAGGTTAGAAGATAGAGTTGAAAAAGTAGAAAATAGTGTTGATACAGCACAGAATGAAATTATTATGGCACAATATAGGGATATGGAATATGCTTTGTGAATAAGAGGGCTGAAGGAGAATTTGCAAGAAGAAATTGCAGCAGATTTAGCTCCTATTTTGGGATGTGATTCTGAAAAAATTTTGAGAGAGATAGAAAAATTTTTTAGGGTTAATTCATGGATTGTGAGACAGAGAAATTTACCAAGAGATGTGGTGAGTTATTTTTCCAGAAGATTACTTCGTAATGAAATTATACAGGCTTTTTACAAGCAAAGATTTCAAATTGCAGCTCAAGATGTTATAATTTTAAAAGAAATACCTCCAAAAATTCTTAGAAAAAGAAAGGACTTTGCTTTTTTGGCCGAGGAGCTTAAAAAACAACAGGTTCAGTTCAGATGGGATTTACCTGTTTGAATTGTGGTGAACTATGCCGGGACACGTTATAGACTTAATACAATTTTTAAAGCAAGAGATTTTTACGCTTCCATTTTGAAGGCAGGTACACCACCATCTCCACGATCTAAGAGAATTGATGAAAAGCTTGAAGAACAGCTGGCTGAAGGAGCAATGTCATTAGTTTCAGGAGATTTGCAGGTTGAATCTATGCAACAGTGTTTGGAGTTAAAAGATGATCCAAAGGAGCAGAGAATGACTTGTGCAGCACATAGACGTAAAGAAAAAGAACAACAAAAAATGGATGTTGGATCCACAATGCATTCGACTACCTCAGAGCCAATGGGAGGAACAAGACCGAAGAGATCTTCGACGGCAGACTTACAAGCAGTGTTCCGGAGGCTTCATGCCACTAAAAATGGCAAAGTTT